AGAATATGAGACCCAAATGATTTCTTCCCAAACATCTTCATCAGAAACATTATGAAGGTTCTCCTCTGATTCACACGTCTTTCAATATTATGTCCATTACAGTTCTGTTAACTATTCTATGAATGGGAAATAAAACCTTTGTTCAATGTGAAATTAATTGCAATGATCTAAATACATCTACAAAGAGCCTTTTGCAGTGTTAATTTTTGTGTGGAAATATTCTCTTTAAACCAAACCTGACATAATCTGTGTCAGTATCAAACTTGAAAATGAAAGTTAATGAAATTACTTCTGTACATACACTTTTGTATCTTTATCATTCAGGCTTAAAGGTCCATTGTGTAACATTTAGAAGGATCTACTGATAGAAATGGAATATAATACGAATAACTATGTTTTCATTAGTGTTTAAATATCTGAAAATAAGAATAATTATTATTTTTGTTACCTTAGAATGAGACTTTTATATCTACAGACGCTGCAGGTCGCCTTGCATGGAGGCCGCCATGTTGACGCACTTGGTTTCTACAGTAGCCCAGAACGGACAAATGGCCATTACCCTGAGATACTGAGAGATTTGATGAAATTCTGTTTTACCAGATTGTGGATAGACACCAGGTTGGCTCACAGTGGAGCCCAGATCACACATCTGTTAACATACTTTTAGCAGCAGCTGTTAAAGCGGACGATTTATTATACATTTATTTAATTTTAAGTCAATAATTAATAAATGATACTCAAATGGAGTATCTGACCTGCACTTTTGGATTTTACCACGCATCTTGCAGAGATTGTTGAAAGGTCACTGTTGCTGTGATCAAATACACTATAAGTGAACAGTATCTGCACATAAGCCAAAAAAAGACCACAAGCTCACATGCAGAGGTCACATAAAACCTATAATTTATTCATTTCAGTCATATTTTGACATAGTAAAACGCAGCTTTAGAAAAGACATGTGGCTTCAGCTGTCAGAAGGTTGAGGGGACACAAGGGGAGACGTATTGCTTTGTGGTTGACTTTTTTTTTTCATTTACAACTGATAAATAATAACAACATACCAAACGTGGGAATATATTTACACATCAACAATATTACAATAGTACAAAGCCTTCAATGTGTCCTCTCTTGCATTGTGAACTTTGTGTTTTTTGTTTCAACATGCAAACAGGTTTTAAACAACATTGCTTTAAAAAACAGAACTTTACACAGTAATGACAACGGCCGATAAAACACTAAATACACCCTCCTGTTGGTTTCCTGTCCATTACAGCATTTCACACCAGTGGAAAGAGATGAGCGTTATCACATTGACTTGCTCTTCTGCTGCCATCAAGTGGCCACAAACATAACAGCAAGTACTTTTACATTCCAGCAACGCAGCTTCAAACCACAAACATCTTTCCTTTCTTAAGAATGCCCTTTCACATTGTTGAACCTCCGAACATGGCACATGAGCTTCTGTTACCTCAGAAACACATAAATAAACAATATATTACAATAAATAACTAGTATAGCACAATTATCCTGCTCTTTGAACGCAATGAGCAGAGGTTTGTTTGTGCGTGTGTGCGTCATGTACAGGTTAATAGTAAAAATGACTACCACAAGGCCTTTGTATGACACTGAATATGAACAGACCATGGCTCTGATTTTTTGGCTCCAGCAGTCAAAGATCACTGACTCAGTTTCACAGAAAGCATCTTTAAAGCAAGACTTTGTCATTTTGAAGAGAAGAATAAGTGTTCCTCTTATAACTGAAAATCTGGGCTCACAAGCAATGAAACACACCGTTGCTTAATTGAAGACACTCGGGAGTTTGGAATCACCAGTAGTTAATGGTGGCTAATGTAAGTTTAGGTGAATATATCTTTATAACAGCCAGTTTGCTGACTTTACAGCTGTTCTCCACTTGTGCTACTATTACAGTGGTTTAGCTTTTTAGCTAAATGCTTAATTAGTGTTTAGTTCAATGCTAAAAAGGATTTTTCCATTTAGCATTATCCCATAAATGTCTCTGAAAGCTGCAGTGGCTGCCATTCAGCCAAAGCCATATAGTCTCGCTTTAAAGGGGAAATCCATTTTCTGAAGTTACAAATGTTATTGTTTAATCTTAAATAGTACAACATAAATGTCTCAGGTAAGCTTTCAATTTAAATTAATGAACTTGGGTGACAATAAGTATCCACAGAACTGGCTCCATATTCAGTGTCAGAGCATCTGCAGGAACAACAGCTTAGAGTTTGTCTTTAAAATGGTTTTTAATAAACATACAATGACTAAACTGCTCATAACACAAAGAATATGTTTAAAAGCAGGTCTTCACCTTGACATCATCTTGTCCTTGTCATGAACCAAAGAGGTTTTAAAATGAGAAAGCAGCTCTGTGCTCTGAAAGGCTTAGTGTTGAAATGATGAAGACTTGTGGCAACCACATTTCTACTGTATTGCACTTAACCCCCCATGTTTTATAACTATCCAAACAATGCAAGACATGCATCGCTACATAACATTTAGGAATCTTGCCTTTGGAATCAGCAGAAATGTACCACTGAGGTGACTGGCTATGCATGAACAGGGCAAAGACAAAATAACACAAACACTATGAAGGTCTGCAGGATGTGAAGACTGCTCATGGTTTTAAATAGTGCGTTTCTTGTCTTAATTTGTATGTATCATCATGCTCATGTATAATTTCTGAATGATTCCCCTCATCACATGCTGCATTTCTTTCCTGGTGACCACAGACTGAGCCAGAGTAACATTAACAGGCTGGTCCCTCAGTGATTTGAATAACAAATAGATGTTTTTCACGTCATGGCCACATCAACAGGAAGATGTCTGAGTGTGAGGATGTTTTTTCCAGCCAATAGTCTTTCTATAATGGAGGAAGTATGTGCCCTTGTGCTTCCATTACTCTGTCCACACCCTGTGTTGGTTTTCACAGACAGTTTAAATAAGTCCACTTCTGAATGAAGTGATCTTTTCAGTCAATAAGAATGAATCATCAATGTCAAAATCTCATCCCATGAACATGATTTTGTTGAATAAAGCTATTTCTTAACAAAGGTCTGCAGTGCAGTGCTTTGACTTATCTGTTAGTGTAACATAACTCAAGGATTAAAAAAGAAAAGAAATAGCTCTATGATGGGGTTGTGTTTCCATAGCAACCCGTGGTGAGTGGGATACCATAACGCACCCTGAAATCAGTCATCATAATGTCAGAAAGCATCTCTGCATGGAGTCAGATTGGCTTTACATCAAGGACCAGACGTCATTCCAGGGCTCATTCAAGGAAAGAAAAAAGAAAAAAAAAAAAAAGAAAGAGACACTGATTCCTAACCAAACCAAGAGCTCTACAGTACATCTATGCTGCAGGACTCAATGTGACATTTGGCACTGAAAAATGTATAGGTCCATATTATATACAATGTAAAACTATCATTATCTATTCACACAAAAACATCACAGAGAAGAGTGCATGAGAAGTGTTTGGCTAACTGTCAACCAGGACTGGAAAATGTTCACTATTCATCAACAGTGTTTGAACTCTGGAACGTTCAGCAGCGCTTTAGTGTTTGAAACGTCAGAGGCAGTCATGAAAACCTCTCACGATGTTTCCTTCACGCGCCAGATAAGTTACACTGTTAACATCATGCCTTTTGCCACTCACTGTACATTTTTAGTTAAACGACAGCCTCGGTGAGAAAAGGTGAAAAAGGAGTAGAAATGTGTTGCACTGCTTCAACACTGGCTGCTGATGCTTGTGTTACATAATATGCTACCTCACAATAACCAAAGAAAGCTCCACATCACACACCTAAATAACTATGGCATGTGTCCTGGATATACGTGCATCAGGAAGCAGGTATGTGATATGCCAATGAAATTATGAGACCATCAATAAGGACCAATTGTAGCTGTCAGGTTATAAACAAATATAGCTCCTCAGATGTTTTTGTGTTAGTAACTGAAATGATGAAGAGGCTATCGAGTCCTTGTTGACCTCCGAGGGGGGCGTCAAGACTTTGACAAAAATAAAAGGAATAGTCCACCTGCTCCAAACGCTCATAAATAACCAAAATCTCATCACAAGAACAAAAAGAAGGGCATATTCAGTCCAATAGATACTGTACAAACTAATTACAGCCTCCTCTTCTCTCCGTCTCAGTTTGGCAAATCTCCGTCTTGCTGCACAGAATCTCTTCCTGTAGACAGTTCACAGATCGTGTGCACACTTTATAAATCCTTTATAAACAGGTTTGTTGTCACAAAGCCTGTAGAGAACAGGCAGCTCTTTGTCTTCATGGGTTTTTGTTAGAACACATGGCACCTTATTGTCCACTTGGCACCTCTGCTGGTACTGTGATTTTGCTGCAGTGTATGTGTGAGTGTGGGACATTTTGCCATACAAAGCGCCCTTTATGCCACACGTACTTGGGTGCTAGGATTTCCACTGCACTGTGTCCCGTGTGTGTGTGCCTATGAGAGTAGGTGTGTGTGTGTGTGTGTGTGTGTGTGAGTGAGTGTGTTTAAGCGCGTGGCTCCAGTTTGTGTGACAGTTCGAAAAGCGTCTGCTGATTGTCGATAATGTGCAGGTAGTGAACGCTCGCCCTCACCTCCGCACTGTCGACCCCGATTACCTCGTTGCCTTAGAGACAGACACAAAACATGCACATTAGTCACACAGAAGAACACAGGCTGTATTATGGTCATATAAAGAAAGTAAAAGACTGTCTGGAAATGGTTGCTTAGAAACTGTAAGAGAAAATTGAGTGGGAGAGACAACAGACTCAGGTATTGGTGCAGTACACTAACTCAACTGCAGATGGCAGTAGATTGCTCACAATGAATAGATCCAAATATCAATACTTCATCCAACAACAACAGTTTGTCTCTCAAGGGGAGAGAATGAGCCTGCAGAGCCCCTGTAACTCAGCTAGCTTAAAACTTGATGTTGACGTGATGTTAGCGTCCTTGCGCCAAGACTCACCTGGCTGGTCGCTTTGGCAGTGGCGAATCATTCTTACGGTGTCTGCGATCATATGCTGTTGGTTTAGGAGGAAACGTGTTGCGTCAGTGCAATAGCAAACAATCAAGATCTAACACTTAACGTGAGGCAATGCTGCCACTGAATGTTGCCCGCATTTTTGTGATGGCAACATAACTGTAAGTCTCACTTTTAGTGACAATGCACTGAAGTGAAAGTCACCAGTTAAAAAGAAAACACGGAATTGATCTGTAACAAATAGCCCTCTGACTCTCCCCTCCAACACTGCAGCAGTTTTCTACTCTCAGACTATACAAACGTACCCCTTTCCACTAATGTGAATTATTATTTGCTCTCTTCAAACAGGTTGGATTGTCTTAGATATAGGTTTTAATGGAGGCAAGAGGGAATAAGAATGTCTGCAGTGTTGTTGTTCATTAATACAAATACACTGATTACTTTGCAAGGTGACTGGCTACTTCAATACATATACCAGGGATACCCTTGCTTTTTTCAATACAGACTGTTGGTTAAAGTCAGACCTTTAGTGTAGCGGTGAGTTTTTTCCCCACACACACCAGCACCTGATTATGACTGATGTCTGTCTCTTATTTTCCCAACTTGTAAAAACTCTGAAAACAAATCTAGTTTTTCTTTCTTTCTTTCCCTTTTGGCGACACGCTGCTCTGATTAATTACTGTTGAATGAACATATGATGGGAGCAGCTGTGGCTCAGTAGGTGGAGCTGGCTGTCCGCTAATCACAGGGTTTGCAGTTTGATCCCCAGCTCCTTCTGTCCACATGTCAAAGTGTCCTTGGGCAAGAAACTGAACCCTGAATTGCTCCCCCATTAGTGTGTGCTGCCATCAGTGTATACATGTGTGTGCAAATGGGTAAGGCAAATTGTAAAGCCCTTTGGAAAAAAGTGCTATATAAATGACTGATGATTTATGTGCTCAATTAATCAATCAATCATCTATTGATGTAGCTCAACTTGATGAATGTAGTCACAAGATAACAGTGTAACAATTGCCTCACTCATTTAATAGGTGTTCTTTGAACAGAAACACTGACAAACTTTACAGAACTGACTCAACTCACCAGCTTCTCAAAGTTGACCAGGTTGTCATGGAAGGTCTTATTTCCCTCGTGGATGAAGGTGATATCTAAGAGCAGGAAACAAAAGTATTAAGGGTTAATTCATCGAAAACAATAAAGTGTGTGTGTGTGTGTGTGTGTGTAGGGGTTAGAGATTATACCTTTCAGGAGAAGAGGCATGAAAGGGATCTTGGGAGGTTTCATCCTCTTGAAGGCTTCCCTGTAGGCTTTGTGGTTCAGAGACGGATCCTGAACAAAGATGGTGGAACACAGTGAAAAGAAAGGATTAGAAAAGGAACAGATTTCAAAATTTGATTATCAAATCGAAAGAGGAACATATTTCAAGCTCTGGATCTTTCTGTGTTTATTAGGTAAGTCTCACCGTGATGAGCTCCAACTCTGAGAAAAGCTTCTTGAACTTCCCCGGACATTTCTGAAAAGAAGATGTTTGGTTAGAATTTGATTTAAAAACACGTCTATAAATACATTAAATGCCACAACGCACACGCTTACCTCCCAGGTCTGGTTGAGTCGGCTGACAGCTGCTGTGTTAAGACCCATGATGATGGCAAATGCAGAGTTCAAATTTCTTTGGGCTTTACAACTACAAATGCACAAAAATGTTTAAAAATATTATGATTACACAATGAAATATTAATGCCCTTGATACATGCACTTTAATTTGTGTGTAATACTGAGTGTGTGTGTGTTCTTACTGAGCTGCGATCTTGATGAACTTCTTGAGCAGCTGTACTCTTTTGTTGAGCGATACACACATGAGCACCTCGGACATGACCCACTGCTGTACCTCGTTACAGCGCTGGAGCAGGACTGAGAGCGCCGCCGTCTGGCCTGTACCAGGAGCACGGCTGAGCGTGTAGTACACCAGCTCCTGCTGCATGTGGAGGGAGACAAGAGTGTAGGTGAAAAACATTATCTTTCCATTAGTTCTTTTTAATTGTTTAGTTTATAAAATGTCCAGTTACTAATTTTCTGAGCCCAAGGCGACATCCTAATATTGCTCGTTTCGAATAAAGAATAAAATGCATTTATACCACAAAACAGAGAAAGGCAGCAAATTCTCACATCTGAGAATGGGAATCAAGCACAAAGCATTGTCTAGATTTCCTAATTTTCCAAATCTTTGCTCCAATATTCAGCTCTTCCTGACAGCCGTTCAGTTGCAACAAGACTTTCTGTACTCCAGCAGGTTTGGAAGAGCATTTGCATCTTTAATGCTTATGTCCCAGCAATCTCTGTCATGAATATGAATGTATTATTAACAATGTGCACACACCACATGCTTGTATTTGTGTGTGAGAGAGTATATACCTCATGGATGGATTTGAAAAGGCTCCAGTCCAGGTGTGTGAGAGCAGCTGCCACATCCCAGGTGTTAATACCTAAGAGTCTCACCGGCCTCCTGCTTAGCTCAGCACTGTCCGTTAAAGGAGGCTGCACACACAAAATAAAGTTAGTACATAAAAAGACAATGTATACAGAAAAATACAAGAGATATAGTGCATACACACAGGTACCATCTATCTACAGGAACACCTTCAAAAGAAACAATATAGCTATGAGCCATTAGAGCCTTCAGCCTATATACAAGTAGTGAAGTGAAAGCTGAGAGGGAAGCTGTATTTCTGTTGTATTGTAACACAATTGTTCTGTCCAACTCTGGTTACAGGTCACCATATTAACTTCAGTTCTTAACTGATATTACCACAGCAAGAACTTTGCTGAATAAAAGACCACATTACCTACTAGCCTACAAGTTGGATTTTTTAAATTGGTCTCATGTTGCGGATCTACTGGTTTGTTAATGGCTGGCAGGCTGCTAAATATACGTGTTTAACAAGAAACCAAAATCCTAGAACTGCAGTTAGTAAAATACCCAATATTGCAAAATGATTTAAGGATTCACAACTGAAGCTCCAGTGTGAAAAACATGCCATAACAGAAAACACTGCCCCTGATACTGCACTTTCCAATCCTCTTGTCACAGTTGGGCAACAACAAAGTAATAGTGGCTCACACCTTTTTTTCCTACTATTGAGTCAGAGTTAATAACAATCACCTGGCCTGAGTCTTTCCAGCTTGCTTATAATGCATGACTCATCGTAACACAGTGAAAATATGTCAGCTGGGGTTTCAGAATATTCATTTTCATGCCTTATTTAGCCGGACGATCATACGGAGGCTACCAACAATATCAGAGGCAGCAAATGCCTAAATTATCATAACTCTGAATTTCTCTGGTTTGCTTTAAACCTGCATCTTAAGTCTCTAGTAAATTCTTATGAAAAACTGGAAAGATTGAGTGTTACAGAAGGACAGAGGCACACACAGAACAGTGCATCTACAAACCAAGATCTCGGTGAGATCCCTGCGACAGGCCATGAGCTTTCCTTGTGGGGTCAGAGACTCTGAATAGACACAGTCACTAGACTGTAACACTCTCCGCTCTACAGAGACAAACATATACAGAAAAGAAGAAGGAGAGAGAGATTATGATAATAATTCAGAGCCAAGAGGACAGAACAGTGATTCCAAAACAGGGGTACTTTTGCAGTTGCCAAGGGGTAGATGAAATGATTGTAGAGTAGCTCATTTAATCATCTAATTTCAAAAGACAGAAATTACAATTTTATTTAAAACTGCATACTGAATCACTATAGGTAGCTAAGAAAGCAGAGAAGTCTAAACAGTTAGCTAAGTAATGGATAAATGGATAAATGGATAAAATGGATAGCTAAAAGCAAAACATAGTTAACTAAATGTAATACATAAGCAGTTGAAATAGTTGTAATGAATAAACAGCTGAAATAGCAGTAGGCTTGATGGTTGAAATTATTTTGTAGTTTTAGTAATCAATAAATGGTTGAAAGATACAGTTTCTTGTTTCTGTCACGCAAAAGTACAAATGCAAATTTGACCTAAAACTGAATATTCAATTATATAAAAAAAATAAATAGGAGTTAAATAACATCCAATTTATATTCCATTGACGAGAACATTTGGTTGCATGGCGCTGATGAGGGACTATTTGATGTCTATGTGAAGGGTACCTCAGACAATAAAGGGTGGAACCACTGGTGTAGAAAATTAGCATTTTCAAGGGGGAAATTTAATACTTCCGTTAATGTGTTGACTATGTATTATGCATGCATTACTTTCTGTATTGTGTGTGCGCGCGCGCGTGCGTGTGTGCGTGCATGTGCGTACCTCCAGTGTGCGACACCACAGCAAGCACCATGTCTTCTTCTGCTCTGTCCATTTTCAGACCCACAATTCTTAGCAGCTCATGTGCCTCCATTGAGGGGTGTGTGTGGACACTCAGGTAGGAGTCTGCGCTCACGTACACACAACAAATAACTAGAAGAGACAGAAAATGTTCAGTCAAAGCAGTAAATGGCTAAAACAACAATACTGAAATACTGTGAAATACTAATGAAGCAGATGTATTTAAGAAGTATTTACAGAGAGAGACTTGAGTTAATTTTTGTCAAGTATTCAAAACTGAACACGCAGTATTTAAGCAATTTGCATGTGAAAAACTCACAGATTGTCATTATGTATAATTGTGTACAGTTCTGGCAGCGTGTTTATTGCTCTGTGTGTGTGTGTATGTGCATGCGTTTGCCTCGGTTACTCACCATCTCTGGTCTCAGATGGGGGACTTCGGAGTTGCAAACAGTTTTCCTTTAAACTCAACTGCTGATGCATTTGTTTACTCTGACAGAAAGAGCAGAAGAAACATGGTGATGTAGGTATTATACTGTATTTATACTTCACTGGATATGGTGATGCACTGATAACATCTGTAGCATCTGTATCAGTGTCTATACAGCTCACATTTAATTATTACAACTGAACCTCTATGGGCTTATGTGCCTTATTTTACAATATAATGCACAGTTAACTGTATGATTGAAATTTATTTGATTTTTTTTCTCGGTTAGTATTCAACATCGGTTGACAGGATCAGGAATTTGGTCAGATACTTTGGATTTGAACAAAAAAATACTAGTCCTTTCATTTTACCAAGGTATATATTATAATACATATAATAATAATAATATATATAGTTTCAAGCTCATCCACGAACCCCCATCTCTTTGACTTACCTTTTGGTTTGGAGGGCAGTCATCCACAGTGCTACAAAAGGACATGGAAAAATAAAAATAATCATTACTTATTTAGTCGTATTCAATACAGAGAACAGAGTCCTTGCGCAGAGACAAACACACACTTACTGTCTGCGACGCAGAAGTTTCTGGAACTCCTTCAGGTCTTTCTCTAGTGTGGGGTACTCATACAGATCTTCTAAAACACACCTGTACAGGGTCTGACAGAGAGACAGAGAAGAAAACGACAATCCATGAAATCAACAATCTCATGTTAACACACATTTGTAGGAAATGCACATAAACTTATTTCAGAAGTATTATAGCCAAAAAGGCATGCAAATTCTTTAAAGGGTTGGTTCACCCACATCATTTATGAAATGAAATTCCATTCATGGGTTGAAAGAATAAGTCTCCAACTCTGGGCAAAGAATGTAAAACAAAAACTGGATGCCTAGATGGAGGGGCTTAGGATAGATCCTTTAACATAATATTGAGCTTCCATAGAAATGGTTACCAAACCTTTGGCACATTTCAAAATCTGTATTGATGAAGGAAGTAAGGGAGAAACTATGTTTTTTTGTAATTTGGATGGAGAAAGCCTTTAGCCCTACCGGCCCTTATGCTACCATAAGTATAAATAATAGTATATATATAAGTCAAAAAGTTCAATTTCAGACACTGTCAGTAAATGCTACCTTCCATAGAAACTGCTTTTCTGTGCAGCTCATTTACAGAGGATCATCAAGTGTTAATTATGCTGCGTGGGTCGATTACGTTAAAGAAACATAAGACAAATTCTGTACCTTGTACTTAAATGGGTGACTAGTCACGCTCTGTAGTGTCTGTGTGTGCGTGGCAGAGAATTAGTAAGTAGCATGAAAGCTCTGGAGGCGGCAAAAGTAACAACTTGCAACTGCACACACAAACGCACACAGACACACACATTTCTCCACACACCTGCTTATCGCTGTCATTGACCCACCGTAGCCTCCCATCTCAATTCCCCTCTTATTCCTCTGTTACTAGGCAACTATCACCTGGGTTACACACTCCATATGAGATTATACCCATGCCAACCCTCGCACTATGGTTTCCATGGTAACCCGGCATTGAGCAATAGAGGTTACAGAGGTACAAGCGATTGGCGTGTGTGTGTGTGTTTGTTGTGGGTGAGTACATGTGTGATTGTGTTTGTTGGTGTGTGTTTGTCCCTTTCTCTTTCAGTGTCACGGTTGTCACATGGATTCATATCCAATTCACCCGACCATGTGAAAATATAGCAGGAACACAGTGGATACAAGCAGCATTTGTCATGAGAAATGTGATAATGTGAGACAAAGAATATGTAGGTGTGTATTTGCAATGCCTATGATGTCCCTGTGTATGTACTGTATTTTGTAGATACAATAAGTGGTAGAATACTTAAGTCCCCCTCCAGTCAATATGTTTTTCTGCTTGTTTCTACAGTTGGATGTTTGAGCTGTGCAGAATGTTGTATGTGCAGAGTTTGACTCTAGAAGGAGGTTTTCACATTCATCTGCTAGGAGGAAGGTGTGCTCATTAAAAATCAGATTTTAAAAGGGACAGACACATTATTATTCCAAGTAGACAATTTGTATAGGTCTTAAGAAGTGTCTGGAAGGCTGGTCTCTAATATTTTGACATTTATTTTATTGGTTACTTAGATTACTACCTAATGTTCCTGGGTATTTTATATTAGTCTCTAAAATACCCCCCCCCCCATTCCTCACATCATACACCATGAAAGTGTCTGTATTTTGTCCTCTCTTATTAGCTTGTTTTGTCAGAAGGATGAAAAAAACAAGGGTCCCCCTGTGGGAAAAAGCTGAAACACAATTTAACAAAAACATCAGAGAAGACACACACACACTTTTCAGTTCTCTCTACAAAATGCTTGATGTTTCGGTCATGCAGAACTTGAAGAAGGACAAACCCCATTTTAGAACAAGACAGAGACACAAATGAAGATAAATTAGACTTTTTATGTTCTTCGGTGACACGTGTGAAAGGACACCAGAGGATCAAACTCATTAAAGTGTTGAAATACAAGAGACAGAGTGAGAGAAAAGATCAAAAAGGGATGTGGCGATGAAGGCAAGCAGTGTCATACCTTCATGAAACTCCGAACGTGCTCCTCTTCCTTGAGAAAGTCCTTGTAGAGCCTGCTCCAGTGGGAGACCAGCTGCAGTACCTTACGCTTCCTGAAGAGGGCGTCTTTGCCCTCTTCTTGGCCCCTGCATCGGGTGCTGCTATAGGTGAGAGCAGTCAAGGAGACAACATGAGAGTGTGGAGGCTAAAAAAAGAGTGTGTGCGCTTATGTGTGTGTTTGCCAGTAAGGATATTGTCCCAGCAGAGCCTGACAGAGGTCACTGGTGGACATGAACACCAGGTAGGTCAACAGGAAGTCATCCAGCAGCATTTCTGAAACACAGGAAACATATCATCATTCACTTCCAATGCCTTCACTGGCAAAGTGCTCCAAGTGAAGTTTTGGAGTTGTGGAAAGTCACAGAAGTGTCTTAGCTTGTCTCAGTTTCTCTCGTTGTCCCTCACTTCACCTCTGATTTCCTCAGTCTACAGTAAGTACTAAAGAATGGTATCCACTTTGTGCCAGCCACATTACAAACCACTACGAATAGCCTTTAACCCCTTAACTTAGAAAATGATACTCTCCATATGCCCCTCTTATTTGCCCACAAGTAGCTTTAAAATAGTGATAACAATTCCATATCAGCGATGGATCAAATGACTATGTCTAATGTGAAAGGGGCTGCTAGTAGTGACAAACCCACCAACTCTGCAAATGCCCACAGCTCCACAGAGCTTTATAGTTTCTTCTAACTTGTTCTTCCAGCCCATAACAACTTGGTTCATTTTCACCACTCACATGGTGTCATTTTTGGCTGGAACAGGAAGCTATTTTGAGGCAGCTCTAAAAACCCACTGTAAGCTACCTGCTCAGCACCTCACAGCAGACAGACAAAGTTAGATATTTGCCTCGGGAGTTGACCAAAATAGAACTAAAAGGGAATATTGGACTTCTATTCATCATGTGGCCAGAAACAAGACTTTCTATTCTAATGTTACTCTGTGAAACATGTTTACCATATCAACTTAAAAAGTGATATTATATCTTTGGAGACTTTGGTCAAACCCACAGAACCTTATCTTAACTTCGATTAGAGATCACGAAGTTTGGTTGCACACTGTGAGCTTGGGTATGACGAGGTTAAAGGTTGCTTTTCGCTCTTATGTTGCCAGCCACTGTCAATCAAATCTTTACCAACAGAGTTCTGATGAAGCAGATTATCAGAGATTTTTTGGTGTTTAAGATTTAATAAATTACACCTAATATACAACTTAATGCTTTTCTCTAAATATTAGCTTCGACTGATTGTTATTTTCTTTTTTTTTTATTTAGAGAGAGAAGAGAGAAGGAGGAGAAGAGAGAGAGAGAAGGAAAAAAAAAAGAGAGAGAGAGAAGAGAGGAGAGAGGAAGAGAGAAGAGAGAGAGAGAGAGGAGAGAGAGAGAGAGAGACTCAGCAGGTGTTCAATGGGTAAGAACCGAATATAAACAGCCCTCGTGGCAGATGGGTAATGAGCCATTGTTGGTGGTGTGAGGGAGCTGTGCGTGCGTGTGCGCGCACGCACGCGTGCGCGCGCGTGTGTGTGGGGTGTCAAACTCTTTCTCTGAGAAAATGTGTGACCCAAATATGACTCTGTCGGGCAGAGAGCAAAGAAATCAATTATGGAAGACTGAGCTGAGGCCGCGGCATTAATATTTGATCCACCGTCTTCTCTTTAGAAATAAAAACACAACTTTTCTCAAGAAATACTTTTAGGCAGGTCTGACTGAGCTTATCACTTTTTCAAAACCCTGCTGACTTACTTTCATTTTCCATTTCTTTTTTGAGCCCCTTTCAATCTGTGGATGAGAGCTCCTTCTTGACCAGCTATCAGTCTTTTTTCTGCCTTCTGTTTTCCCTCTTTCACTCTCTCTCTCACTCCCCCCCCACCCACCCCCATTTTTCATTTTCTCCTTTGCGGCAGTTACATTTCCTCCTGCTACTCCTCTCCTCCTACGCTCGCCCTCTCTGTGATGATAAATACCCATTTTCATCTTCAACATATGCCCTCTGCGTTTGCCCGCTGGCATGCACAAAGTCACACACATACGCTCATAGAGACACACACACACACACA